ACCATAATCAGGTGCCTGTATCACGATCTGGACCACGCCGATGGAATACGGACAAGCTGGATGTTGAGAAGTTCACTGACGTAATCTCACGGGGAGCGCTGGTGAATTCTGCTGCACCTGTTGACGCCGAGGCATTGGTAACGTCCACGATGGAACTGATTGTCTCGGCTTATGACCAGGCCATGCCACGCAGGGGACGCCGTCGCGATAAGCAAGCTGTGTACTGGTGGACTTTAGAGATCTCAAACCTTCGGAAAGCTTGTCTGAAAGCCAGACGTGCCGCTATGAGGGCGAGAAGATTCCCGGATTTCGAGGCTAAGTCAGCGGCTTATAGGGCTGCGAGGAAAGCTCTTCGTCGGGCTATCATCAGGAGCAAGGTTAGCTGTTGGAGGAGGCTTCAGGAAGATGTTGACTCTGATCCTTGGGGACTGGGCTACAAGGTTGTAACCCAGAAACTCGGCGCCCGACCACCACCTTCCGTCATGGAGGGCACCACCATGGACAGGATCGTCACCGCCCTGTTTCCGCCTCATCCTCGGCGGCCTTTTTTCGACAATGGCGAGGTAGGGGACATTCCACTCTGTAGCAATAAAGAGCTGGAATCATCTTTCCTCTGCCTGAAAAATAGAAAAGCACCTGGTCCTGATGGTATTCCCAGTGAGGCTGTCAAGAAGGTATTCTCAGTTAACCCCCTCTTACTGCTGAGAATGTACAACACATGCCTGTGTGAAGGGGTTTTCCCAACTCCTTGGAAAAGGGCTAGGCTTGTGCTAATCAGCAAGGGGAAAGGTGACCTGAATATTGCCGTCGTCTAACAGACCCCTCTGTATGTTGGATGTGGCCGGAAAACTCTTCGAGAAACTGATCCGCTGCCGCCTGACGTCTGCCGTGGAAGCTGCCGGAGATTTGTCTCCTCGTCAGTACGGCTTCAGAAAGGGTCGGTCAACAATCGACGCGATATCCGAGGTACACAGAGCGGTAGAGCGTGCCTAGAGCTTCAATCATTACTCTCGCCGTATCGTGCTTCTTGTTACACTAGATGTCAAGAATGCTTTTAACTCGGCGAGATGGGTCGATATGTTGAGCGCGTTGAGGAACAGCTTCCGCGTACCAGCATATCTGTTGAGGCTGATCGAGGACTACCTGCGCTGCAGAACTCTTAATTACGAAACTAAAGATGGTTCGCGGACGATGAATGTTACTTCCGGTGCCGCGCAAGGTTTGATACTCGGCCCAGATTTGTGGAACGCTGCCTACGACAGCCTTCTGAGATCTGAGATGCCAGAGGAGACCGTTTTAGTTGGGTACGCCGACGACATCGAAGCCCTCATTGCTGCACGCAACGTTGAGCTAGCCCAACTGAAACTGAACCAAGTCATGCGCGTTGTAAACGCCTGGATAACTGATCATGGTCTGACACTCGCTCTGATCAAGACAGAGATCGTCATCTTCACGAAAAAACGGATTGAAACCATCGTTCCGCTACGAGTTGGGAACGTAGTTGTCCAAACCACGCGAACCGCCAAGTACCTTGGTGTCATGGTGGACAACAAGTTGAGCTGGAGGGACCAGATTTTCCGTACGGCGGACAAGGCTGCTAGGAGTGTCGCTGCTCTTAGTAGGCTTATGGCCAATGTCGGTGGTCCCCGGTCCAGCCGTAGAAGACTACTGATGTCTGCAGTCCAGTCCGTGCTTCTCTACGGCTCTGAGGTGTGGGCAGACGCGCTTAACAAGGAGGCGTATAGGTTGAGGCTTGCACGAGTGCAGCGTCAGGCGGCACTCAGGGTCGCTTCCGCGTACCGTACGGTGTCCGAACCGGCCGTTTTGGTGATCGCTGGAGTTATCCCAGTCAAACTCTTGGCAGCGGAGAGGAAGGCAATCTACCAGAGACAAGGCTACATCGGAAAGGACGCTGCAAGAACAGAAGAGCGCTCCCACACTTTTCAGATGTGGCAAGAAAGCTGGGAAAGGGAGACTCGAGGACGTTGGACTGCCAGACTCATCAGGCAGGTCCAACCGTGGGTGGAACGGCGGCACGGCGAGGTTGACTATTACCTCACGCAGTTCTTGTCAGGTCACGGCTATTTTCAGTCGTACCTGCACTTGATGGCCAAAACGAATTCACCTGACTGCATTTACTGCCCATGCATTCCCGACGACGCGGAACACACTTTTTTCCGCTGTCCACAATGGGATATGCTTCGCCAGGAGGCCATTCAACATCTTGGGGTGCTGTCGATTGAATCGGTCTGTGAGACCTTGCTGAAGGGTGAGGACAACTGGGACTGCTGGTCGCGCTTTGTCCGGAATGTCCTTCAAGCTAAAAAGAACGATCTAGATCGGAACATAGTCTAGATTTGATAAGAAATAAACGGCTAGACACGGCGTAAGCCCCTCGGGCGTAGGAAAACTCGGCCTAGTTCTGATGAAGTGCGACAAGTGTTCCCAGGCTGCCTCAACAGATCCACCGACCATACGCCTATCCGCTACCCAAGGGGCGCTCCGTCCTACGCTGAAGTAGGACAGCGCACGGAACCCAAAAATAACAAAACAAAATTCCTTCGACACTAAGTTAGCGCCAAGTGTCTAGACATGATTGAACAAGCATGGCAGAGTGGCAAAACTCTGATTACTGAGTGACCTTGAACTGAGTTTCCTCCATGTCAACTCTTCTTCTTCTTCTTCTTCTAGTTCGCTTTTTAAAAGCTGGCTTGGTTTAAAATAACCACGTAGCCACACTACTTCCTAAGTAAATTTTTCCCGGGGTTTTTTTAAAATGTCAAAAAGATGCTAGTTTGTGAATTTTAATTTTCATGTCTTGTTGGGATATTATTAAAGTTGGATTTCTGTTTCTTTTAGAAATTTTAGTAATGGTGGCCATAGCTTGCAATTTTTTTCCATTAGGAGTGTTTGCACATTTGGTGGTAGATTCCTATTGGCTGTTTTAATTTTTGTATAAAAGCATTGTCTCATTCTATTATAAGCTGGGCATTCTGTAATGATGTGTTCTATTGTTTCATGATGTCCTGGTTTGCACCTGGTGCAAAATGGGGATTCCCGCTTTTTCATTTGGAATAGTCTCATAGCATTGTATACATGGCCAAATCTTAATTTACAAATTAGTGTAGTGTCAGCACGGCTTAGCCTGTAGCTGCAAAACCATGGCTTTTGAGGTGCTTTAGGTTGAATGGTTTTGTACCATTGTCCTTTACTATTGTTGTCAAATTCTGTATATGCCTTTATCTTGTATTTATGTTTAATATAAACCTTTATGTCTGACATAGGTGTAATGAAATCTTTGTCTATGGCTTCATTTGAATTAGCTGCGGTCTTGGCCAGTTTGTCAGCCTTTTCATTGCCAGGCAATCCTATGTGACTTGGTATCCACTGCATCACAATAGTCTTCTGGTTGAGTGATATTAGCTGGTCTACAATCTCTAGTTCTAAATGTTCGTTGTATTGCCCATCTATTGTTTTCTTAATCTTTTGTATGGCTACTTGTGAGTCAGTGAAAATAACAAATAACCCATTTGTCTTTTTTCGGTAAATAGAGATATTTGTTCTAAGGCTTTGTGTATAGCATATAGTTCTGCAGACACTATTGAAGTTTTTTTATCAAGCCTAATGCCTATGCCAGGATGGCTACCTTCCAGATGGATTCCAGCTCCTACTCCCGATTTTGTTTTGGAGCCATCTGTGTAAATTGATGAATAATCTATATAGGCTTCTATTATCTGCATTGCTGTTTGGTACAAGACAAGTTTGTTTGTGACGGTTTTGTTGGATTTTTTTTGTCTAGGTCAGTTTCAAGTATAGCATTAATGTCAACTCAGAGATTTTATTACTACATTTTTCAATATTTAGAAAGAAAGAAATATTGACACCATTTTGAAACAAGATGTAGGCTATACATTAAAGCCGGGTTTACACGATGCCAGTTGGCGAGACAATTATCAGGAGACAACTGACTGGCTTGGAATTACTGGCTTCGTGTAAACACTTCAGGCCAATTGGCAAGCCAATTGGCTCGCCAACTGTCCCGAAATTCAGTTGTCTCCGGGAGTAGACTGAGGACAATGAGCTGGGCCCAGTGAGGCCCCCACCCCTCGAAAACCCAGTTGTCGTGACAATTGGCACCGTGTAAACTGTGTAGAGGCCAATAGCACTGTCTTGTCTTTTCTCAGTAGTACCCTGGTTCACTGTAAAATGCCTGGGCAAGTGTTGGCCACGTGTGAACAGGTTCTCGTTCAACTTGCCTGGCCTACGACAATTCCAAAACCACGTGATGCCAATTGGCAAAGTCAATTGTCTCACCAACTGGCATCGTGTAAACCCGGCTTAAGTTAAAACTTGACACCTGGTAACTCAGGACAGTCAACAGCTGGCATGGCACACGTCTAGCTGGCTTTTTACTTTCTCCCCCTATACATAGTATATGGAAAATTATTGTTTTTGCCAAACTTTCGAGTTTGAGTTTTGAGTGGATATATCCTTTTTGGGTCCCCCTAAACCCAAAAATGTGGTTTTCAAAGTGATGTCTGTGTGTGTGTGTGTGTGTGTGTTGATGTGTACAGAGCTACAGACCACACCTGTAGTACGATTTTGATAAACAATTTTATGTAGGTACTTATCCAGTTTTTTCATTTTTTCAAAATTTTGATTTTCAATAGTGATTTTTCCATAAAAAAAACCATAAAATAACAGAAAAATCTTATTTTCTCTAAAAAGGCCCAAACGATTTTTATAAAAATTTAGTATGTTATAATCCTTTAGGTTCTGAACAAAATGGTACAAATACAAATCCCATTTCCGTAAAAATTATGGTTCCAAAGTCATTGCAACATAAAAATATTTATATATAAATATTTTGCAATGTAAAAAATAGTCTGTTATGTATTTGCTATGTGTATATTATAGGCTATAACAAATTTCCTCTTCCTGGTAGTTAACAAATTTAAAATAATATTTCAAAAATATGTTACTAATTGGGTTTTTTTCAGTGCATTAACAATTTTAGAGGGGACATTTATGATCCTACAGAACTAACTCTGAAGTATTACGCAGCAACTAAGGACGGGACCATTGCTGATGTATTGCAAGCACTTTTGGATTTGGGATTTCTGCCTGCACTTCGAGAAGCTGAAAAACACATTAATAGTAAGCACAACCCTCTTTTTGTAGAACTAGTTTTTAAATATTTAGCTCGTTCAAGGATGTATATATATATACCGGGTGTCCCATAATACTTCCCCCCTCCTCGCTTAATTTTTGAACGGCTGTATATATTCAAACGAGCTTCGATACACGTTACTTGAATAATGTAAGGTATTTTTTGGTGGTATTTTGAAATCCACCCTCACCCCCACTAGGGATTGCTGGGGGTAACTTAAAATTTTGAAACGGCAACCCCTATCAAGTAGCACATCATTTTAAAGAGCTTTTATGAAGGAAATTAATGCCGTGAATCCGACTTTGATACGACAAATTTTCAAAAAGTTATAGCTAGAAATGTTAGACGTTAATGATTTAACTGGAATTTAACATTCCATCACTTTTATTTTTTTTTCATGGCTGTAAATTTTCAAAAAACCACATTTTCAGTGTCAGTACACGTTACCAGGGTGATGTCTCACAATTCTTAACCTTCCAGAGGTCGCATCACGGAAGTAAACTCCAGGGATGTTTTATTTTTCGCAATTATATTTTTTTGAGTGGTGTCGGCAGTGTGAGTGTCAATGTACCTCACACATCTCATTCCTAGAATCGAGTGAAGGTCTAAACTCACCCCTACTATTTTACATTTTGTTAGTTTTGTAAGAGGCTGGAAGTAGCTTCCGTGTGCGCTCTGCCGATTCTTGTACAGCCTGGAGGCAACTTCCGTGTGCGACCTCTAGTTTAGTGTGTGCGTTGATTATTGCGTGTAAATAATTACTGTAAATAATTATTTTTTTACAATCCATGACATTATTTATTAAATATATAGTTTGTACAAGATGAGTGAAGAAGTTAAATTTCGAATTGCAACACTCTTAGCCAGTGCTGAAAGGGAGATTCACGAACGACGTATGTACAGAGTCATTTAGTATTAAGATACCCACTATGTTAAATTACTTAAAACATCAGGTATTGTGACTATTGTGAGTGTTATCATCTAGAACTACCATTATAGGACATTGTGGTAAAATTTAAATTATATTATATTAAATTATATTTATATTATATTAAACTTCTTGAATATATTCTTGTAAAAGATTTCTTTATACTAGTGTACATGTTGCTCGAATTCGAGCAATTGCAAAGTATTACAGGAATTATTTCAAAACGAATAACAGTCATATTTTTACAATGTGTTTAAAAGACTCAACTCATGTAGGTACTCATGAGAGGTACCGGGATCGTTACCCGGCGCCTCCACCAGTTGTAACGGTTCGTTTTTATGTGTTACTTCTTTTAAAATATGTTTATTATTATATAGTATATTGTGGGGGGTGAGCTCGCTTGGCAGTGAGCACAAAGAAAGGTACTCGAGATTCGATTATACAAAATTCTATATTATATTGTCAACACAAGTAGTATTTATAATTACAGAGATACAGGGAAAAATAGAATATAAATATTATATCAAGAACAATGAATGGCAAATACTAAATGACAAAATATGATTTTCAACCAAAAATAATTGTTTATGTTATTATTCTCAAAATAACTATTCGACCAAAAAGGCAATAGAAATTGGTAAATTTATATATATTATTTCAAATAACTCTGTGTTATTAAAAGTATGAATTTAATATGACAAGTATTAAGTGTCTTTATTAGTATTTCAAATCTATCTGTGCTCTAAGTCCAAAAATATTAAAAGAGTATAACGGCCTTACCTTGGCCAGCCGGCGCTGGTTCCTAAGGAAGAGAGAATTATTGGTAAAAGGTCTACCACCGATGGTACTTTCAATTTGGCTGCAAAGAGAGAGGGTAAGGCCATAATCAGCAATTTGTTGGGTATTGAACCTACTGAATGCAAGAAGCAGCACAAAACTGCTTACACTCAGCAATCTACTTTACACAACCAACTGCTGTAACTGATACTTCTACAATTGTTTGATTGATTGAAAATCATTTACAATATGAATTTTTAAGTTTATTGTTAAATTTCATTCTTCCCCAAAAATTAAAGTCGTCCTACCATCACAGTACTGTAACTCAGACCATGTTTATCTTCGTTATTGATAAACCTAAAGCATTCCGGCCGGTTTTCTCCTTCTTAAAATGCCTCGCTGTACAGGCAACACAGGTCATGATAGAGAACTAATTGAGAAAGAAAAGTCGTTTTGGGGTAGTGTTAAAGGGCGCATTTGTAACCTATAACCTGTAACCTATAGTTGAGTTTGTCCAGGGTCAGGTGCTGACTGTGATGTGTTAAGCCTATTACGCACCACACTGTTCTGTTTCTGTAGCTGCGGTCGTTATCACGATTACGCCTCCTGTTTATGTTTCGTTGTCGTCGCCTCGGAGGCATAAAAAACAACAAATAAACAAAATAAATTATAGCTACACAAAACAACGATGAATGCACAAATTTAAATTACAATCATGCTAACACGATCCGTCATAGCGACACAAAACAACGATAAATACACAAATTTAAGATACAACCATACTAACACGATCCGTCTTGGAGGTTATGTTTACACAAACTCAAATAGTGCATTGAATTGAAAAATAAATAACAGCAATTAAATTATACAGCTGATCAAAATGTAAACAATTATGTTCTTCATAAGGATAACATGGGAACTTTCAAAGCCACTGGGGCAGAGCCCAAGGGATTTTACGCGACACGCTCTTTCCAATGAGACGTCAATGGATAAAATCGGTTAAGAAATGGCGGAGGAGTTCAACCGACAAAGTTTCATGTAGCGTATTGATTATATAGATACTTTTATGTTAGAACATTTGATAGAATAACAGTTTAATTTTATATTTATAAAATCTAATTAAGTTATTTTATAATTAAGAGTTCACTAAACACATTTTTGATGTTTAAAATTAAAAATAAAAATTAATTTGTGCACTAAAATGCAAATTTTACTACATAAATGTTTGTTTTTATTGTCCTGGAAGTAACCTCCAGGTGCGCCCTCTCCCGTTTTGAAAACCAATGCGCCCTCTGAAAGGTTAACATGATTTTGAATTTCATCACCCACCCCAAATGGGGGTTTGTATAGAAAAAATAAAAACCCCACCAGCAACCCCATAGTTTATATGTATTACTTTGCAATGGTTCAAATCAAATCAAATCGTTTATTTCCAGAAATTGAACAATAATAAACAGATACATATTAATGAGGAAATATATTTCTCTGCATAGGCTTAAGCCCATGTGCGATAAAAGAGTTCTAAATCTGCTAATGTACAATAACTAGCCTATTACCTTTCTATTACATTGTGGATATACAATAATTTTATTTATCTAAGTAAAACATGTTTTAAAATTTACTGTGTGACTATTCCTTAAAACTAAGTAAATACTAGCTGTTACCCTTGGGCTTCGCCCCGTTTGACTTCATAAGTATTATTAAAATTATTGATTGGTTAAGTAAAGCTGAAATAAACAAATCAGAATACAGTAATACAAACAAAAATCCCTCCTGAGTTCAATAAGGTAATAAATTAAAAGAATAACAAACAAATAAGGACAGCTGAGTTATTTTTAACATAAGTCTATGGAAAGTTCCCTTTAGAACAGAATTACGACCTTAAAGGACAATTTATGAAATAATGGATAGTTTTGGGCAAGGTTTTTAGTCATGGTGAACATTTTAAATATGTTTATGGGGGGTGTGACTTGTAGTTTTCTCAAAAGTTCATGGATACTTTGGGATTTACTTATGGATAAAACATATATCAATTGTAAACAAATAGGATTCAAATTTTAACTTAGACTTGGACATGGAAGGATCCCCGCAGACCAGAGACCCTAACACGCGCCCACACTATAGGTTCACAGTGGCATACATTTTGGGGCGGTAGACGTGTAACTATACCAAATAGAATTGGTTTTCAGTACGCTAGTATAGACTGGTGTTATCATGCAAGCACATTATTTATTTATTTATTTATTTCAACGGACATCTCTATTTTACAACTATACAAATCAAATCAGTTCAACTCAGGATGGCTTATATAAAAATAAGTTTTAATTTGATTTTCTTATATCAAATTTATGTTTTCTGATTGAGCGATACACTGTATTGAACTTAACTGATTAAAACTATCAATATCTAAAATGAAATTTCTAGAAGTATTTTAAGACCAAGACATGAAATAACTTAAATAAAAATAGAGTTGTGCAGATAAGTACTAAAACGATTATAATTATTGTTGATTCGTGATTCAGCAGTATGCTTTAGGTAGTCAGATCTTAATAATCAATAGCTCAAATTGCATAGCTTTAAGACCAAAATTATGAAAACCGGTCGGGTTGAAGAGCCAAACGAACTTGAAAAAAACAAATTTAACTCCTATAAGAAATGTACAGGGAGGCAGTTTGTGCATAACTCGAAATATACGTCAAAATGAATGCCAATGCTTGATGGCAAATCTGTGGTGCGTCCATACCTTTAGTTTAAGGCCAACATTATGAAAATCGGTCGGGTAGAAGAGCTAACCCGATTCGGAAAAGAAAAACCAATAACTTTTATAGATGGCAATACATGGTTTACCAGTATGCATAATCTTATCATACGAAACCTGTGTTAATAATTTAACACCTTAGCTGTTTGGCCCGCTCTTCGTTTGGGCAATTTAAAAATAAATAAATATTAGAAACGCAGGTGTAAAAACTTTGTTTGGATTCTTATACAATCTCGCGTATGAATTTATTTCTGTCAAAATTTCTCCCAATTCCTACAAAATCTAATCAATCTGATCTAACTCATTAGAATTGCTCCATTCTTTTGTAGTGATGGGCCTGTCCACATACAATAAAACAATAGGGCCCATAACCTTTAGGATGTCTTATGTCAGCACCAAATATTACAAATGATAATGCTGAATTATATCTCCTTATGTGTTCTACAAAATGGCGTAATCTTATCATATTCTCCAGATAAAAGACCTATAAAGATAGGATGACTACCAATTGGTGACAGAGAGACTTTCCCATTCGAATAACACAGGGTATAATGATTCCTAGATTTCTCATATTTAAAATGCCGTGCACTACAATGTCTACTATTTCATTTAAAGGGCCCAAGTTCAAGAAATTCTCATCAGAAGGAATAATAAAAGCAGCGAGACCTTCATAACTTACGTCCTGAGGTGGCCGAGGTGGGCACGGTTGTACCTTTTCACGACTACCTGTAAAGATCGGCGACAACCTCTAGGGCGACCAAAAGATATGATTTGTTCATAGAAATAGCATCAATGTTAATTTACCGCACCTCTTTTTAGAACATAAAAGTAAATAATGAAACGAGTAAACAAAAATGTAAATAAACAATATGTTGTCAATTGCATTGACCAGCTGTTGTTCAATAATAACTTAAACTTTTCATGTAAGGCCTAGCCCTTTGAAAATCAGCCTATGGGGCAGAGCCCTAAGAGAATTCGTTCACATCAATACTTTTCGGCAAATCTAGACACTTTGAGCTTTATATTGATGTGCCATATGCCTATATTTGTATTTGGTTAATGGCCCTAACCATTTACATAAAATTTGATTGTATCACTTTAATAATATAATAGATTAAATGAAAACTTTATTGAAAAGTTAATATTTACCAAATAAGGACAAAATAACAAAATAAGTAATCATAGTATGGTTTGCTAATGTAACCAAATATTGAAATAATTATAGCAACTGAAAGATGTAGCTACATTGCCAGGGTCTCAGCAATTTACTAACAGTTACTAAAAATTACTAAAAATCTGCAAATTTATCACTTTTGTTTTGTGGTCAAGGTATCAATAGTAAATATGGTCGGATATGCATGAAACTTCACAGGTATATTGTCAAAGCATAAACAATAAGAAAATGTCATTTTTGAAATTTTTTAAAAAGTTAAAAAAGACCCATTTTAGTGGTGGCGGATCCCCTTAAGTTTTTTTCTAATGGGCTTTAATTATACGTGGATTTTAGTAGCGCCTCCGTAGCCGTCCGGCCAATGCTGGTAAGCCATGCACTCACCTTTCTTTTGTTCACTGGGACACTGCTCTCCTTATACTGCAGGATTTGTGGCGGAAGACTCCGATATAAGATATGGTAATAAAACATGGGTTACTTTTTAGGAAGGTTAATGGTTTAGGAAAATGGAAACCAAAGTTAATTCTATGTCTTGTAGAATAGTTATACTGCAAGTTTGTAAAAATGTTGTTTTTGTTTGACCTAATAAAGACAAAAAGAGTTTTTACAAATAATTAATTGTCGAATATCATGAGCACGAAAACCTGAGTACCGTACAGTTAGATATCTTGATGGTTTGCTTAGGACGGTTTTGATTAATGACCACTGCCCAACAGCCAGAGGCTCAAGCATGTTAAGTTAAAATACATTATTTTAAAAGGTTTCAAATTTTATAATAACACTAGCTGACCCGGCGAACTTCGTATCGCCTAAGTTATAGGTTTCCCCTAAGACAGACCGATGGAAAGAAAGTACCGTTACGTTTAATTTTCAAGATGATCTCGTTCGCATCGCTCAATCACGTCCTGGTTGAAGTTCGTTCGCTACGCTCACTCACCTTTGGGTTGAAGTTCGTTCGCTACGCTCACTCACCTTTGGGTTGGAGCTCGTTCGCTGCGCTCACTTGCCTTCAGGTTGGAGCTCGTTCGCTGCGCTCACTTGCCTTCAGGTTAGCTTGTTCGCTACGCTAACTTGCCTCCAGGTTGAAGTTCGTTCGCTACGCTCACTCACCTTTTGGTTGCAAATTAGCTGTTGTCATAAATGTAAAAGAAATAATAGTGCTGCACCCTGTTGGTAATCCTTGTAACTTTAATGCTATTGAACATCATAGAACAGAACCAACTTGTTTAATTGAAACAGCTGTTAAGATTCATTAATTCCATTTCTCATAAGGTTAACATGGGAAACTCCAGAGCCACTGGGGCGGAGCCCTTTTAAGAATTTCGAAACGGGAAATAGTTTACGTCCGATTCGCATACCTACAGAATTTACACACCAAATTTCATAACGATCGGTGAAGTCGTTCCGGAGGAGTTTGCAGACAAACACTGTGACACGAGAATTTTATATATTAGATTGTTTCAGAATATTGTCTTTTTCCAATTGTACAGACAGCAGAATTGAATAAAAATGGCTTAAGATCTTGTAATTGAATTTTTTTTCAAGCAATGCATTTTAATTTAATATTGTTTGTTTTCGTTTCAGCATTGTTGATTGAAGTGGAAGGTGAAAAAAAAGACTTGATTGAAACACCAACTAAGGAAGAAGGCAAGTGCTGGGGGTTTGCTTTAACCCATTCTCTGTATAGGTTTTAGGATTTAAAAAAAAAACATTCCAATTTCGCTGTAATTTATATTGCAAGACCTGTGTGAAAATTGCACATTTTAATAGGGTTCTTATCTTGTCTCCGAGGCAAAATTATATGCGAGTATTTTATAGTTCCTAATCCAGTAGGTAATGTTAAGAGTTAGGCCTAAGAATCTTTTGAAAATAATATGTTTGTTTTCATATTTCAGATAATGGTATACATGACAAAATCCTTAATGTTGTGAAGGCTGCAAATTTCAAACCATTTGTACCTGCAATTTTCAATCCAATCAAATTAAAAGATGTTTCTACAAGTTTATCTGGAATTCATACTGTGAAAGAAAATGAAAGAATCCAGACATCCAAAGCTCAGAGTAAGAAAGGTTCACAGGTAATTAAAATTCTATTATTCTTTGTTTCTTGCAATTCATACAACCAATTACACATAGCATTATGGACTCAACGAGTTGATTTTGTTAATATTATGATAATTTAGTTTTATCAAAGAATTTGCCATTAAAAAACATACCAGTATAATAATTCCTCTAATAGTACAGCAGAATAGGTTCTTATCATGATTTTTTGTATTTAATGATCTTTCCTTACTGTATTTTTTGCTCTGAATCTGGATATACTGTGTCTTATTGGAACAGCCCTAAGTGCTAAAGTTAAATAGAAGCACAGTTGATCTTAGGATTGAGTTGAGGAGAGTAATACTACATGGTAAAGGTTAGAAGTTAAAATTTGTCACATCAAAAAGTAGGATCACTGTCAGAACTACAGGTGTTTTAAACCTTACCACAAGGTCGTTGAAAACTCAGCATTCTTACTTTTAAGTGAGTACTTGGAAAGTACTTTGGTTGGATAACTAAATACAGTTTTTCTTTATAACAAATTCAAGTCAGTGGAAGTGTTACTCCTAATCATTAGGTGAAAACAAATTTCTACACATCCCACTGTAATGGGTATGTAGTGATAATTTGAACGACATGAACGACGCACACAGCAAGATGTTCTTTTAATGTTTTCACGACACTGGGATCCCACACAACAAGACTGAAGTTAATGGTTTAACAATTCCCTATTTTTCAGAAATACTGCAAATATGTCATGCTGTCCTTTGCTAATGATGGGCATTCAACTGCATTGAGAGTGGCTTCAGTATTTCGAGCCACCACAAATAAAAAAGGATTACCCATAGGAGTGCTGATGTTGTGTGAAAATGATAATCAGATTTTGGAAAATCCTGGTCAAATCATTCCAGATATTATTGCAAAGGTACACATTACACATTTCTTATACATATAAAAGTAATGAATGTTGATAAAATCAATCTTATTTGACTATATATTTTACTCTTGAATTACTGTTATCTTTTTCCTAAGTGTTGACTACCATGGTACTTATATTATAACTATAGTATTCATTCTGAAAGCCCCTGAATGAATTACTTTGTATAAATGACTTTGTAGGCTTACCTCTGTCAGTAGTCCAAAATTGCGCCTAACTTCAAATAATGTGGTTCAAAGCTGACATGTTTCGTTGCAATGCAACATTTATTTATTTTTTATTTATTTATTATCATCACATTACATCAATGATTGACAGGATTTTAATTTGTCATCAAACTAAAATCTATTGTAACAAAACAACAATCATAATATTAAAAATAATTATACATTTGTTAGGAAATCTTCCAGTGAAAAAAATGCCTTCTCCAGAAGCCATATCTTAAGTGTTTTTTTTTAATTTCAATATGCAATCAATTTCTTTTATTGTTGAAGGCAGCTTATTATAAATTTTGGGTCCCATATATTGTGGGGATAAATGAAATAATTTTAGTCTATGTTGCATTGGTTTTATTATTTTTTTGTATCTTGTATCATGGTTGTGAGAGGGCTGACTCTCCATAAGCGTATCCAAGTTACTCTTGACCATCATAGAAATATAATAAATATAAGAGCTGTATAAAGTGAGAATTTTGAATCGACTGAAATATTCTTGGCAATGTGTATCTGGAGGAACCTTGGCTATATGTCTAATCGCCCTTTTTTGAAGAATAAAGACTTTTTTGCTTTCACTATATGATCCCCATAAAATAAGTCCGTAATTCATAATTGAAGCAAAATAAGCATGATATACTGCAATTTGTGTGTCAAAATTTGTTGTATCTCTAATTACTTGTAATACAAATACAGCTGAATTAAGTCTTTTTGATAAATTTTTAATGTGAGTTTGCCAATTTAAATGTGAGTCTATTTTTATTCCTAAATAATCAACTGAATCTTGAGAAACTATCAAATTTGAGTTTGAATTTAGGGTGATCTCATCTTTTATATTGGAGGCAGAGAATTGTATCAGCTGTGTTTTGGGTACATTCATGGAGAGGCCGTTGACAGCAAACCAGTCCTCAAGAGAATGGAGCTCTCTGGTGATTGTGTGAATAATGTCGACACCTTTTTGCTCTTTGCAAATGATTGCTGTATCATCTGTATACTGAAATATTGGCATTTTTGATACACTTCCTAGGTCGTTTACAAATAAAATGAATAGACATGGTCCAAGAATTGATCCTTGAGGCACTCCAAATGGAACATCCTCCCAATCTGACATGTAATTATTTTGAAATTTGTTTATTATTATCCTTTGTTTACGGTTATTCAGATAAGATGCAAACCATTGTAATGCTATATTTTTTATTCCATGTCTACTTAATTTTTCAAGAAGTATTCCATGATCAACACAGTCAAAGGCCTTGGACAAGTCACACAACACTCCCACAGTCTGCTGTGCTCCATCCAAGGCCCCAGCAATATTGTTGATCATGTCGGTTACTGCTTTTTGAGTGTTAAGGTTAGGCCGGAATACAAATTGAGAGGGGTTAATTAGATTATTGTTTTCCAAATATTGTACTAGTTGGTTTTTGACAATTTTTTCAAAAATTTTTGAAAAGCAAGGTAGCAACGCAACAGGACGATAATTAGAGAGATTATTAACATCACCTTTCTTAAATAAAGGTTTTACTTCTGCATATTTGAGTTTGTCTGGAAATACACCCTTCTCCAGGGACTGGTTTACTATTCTGCAGAATAAGTCCTCAAAGACATAAAAAACACGTTTTATCACAAAAAGAGGGATTTCATCCCACCCTGATGATCTTGTGTTACTTATGGTATTCAAAACTTTCTTAACTTCTGCAACACAGACTGTCCTAAAGTTAAATCTTGCATTATTAAGTTGAGAAATGTGTTTACTATTCTTCTCAAATAAGTTAATGGCTTTGGTTTTATTTGAATATTGATTTGAGGGATATGAGGCATTTACAAAAAAATTATTAAAATTGTTTGCAATTGATACAATATTACTCATTTTGGCATATTCACTGTATGTAACTTCAATAGGTGTTTCTGACGATTGCTTTTTTAATCCTAGTTCTTTTTTTACAACAGCCCATGATGCTTTAGATTTATTTTTAGATTGTTTAATGAAATCATCATTTGATTTTAGTTTTGCTAATGCAACAACTTTTTTGAACACTTTCTTATAAGTTTTGTAATAGTTCAAAAACTGAGGATTTCTGTTAAATTTAGATTCCTGGTGAAGATGTTTTTTTCTGTCTGCTGAAGTTTTTATCCCTTTTGTAATCCAATTCTTATTTATTTGGTCTTTAGTCCCTCCCAATTGAGATGTTTTTGGAAAAGCCTCATTAAATGAGTTTAAGAAATTCAAGAGAAAATCATCATAATTTTTATCTGGGCAAGCTCTCTCATTGAAATACCAATTTGCGGACTTAAGTGCCATTTCAAACTTGTTAAGGTTTTCCTTGCTAAACTTTCGGGTGAGCTTTTTATATTTTATCTGTCTTACTGGAGAAGACGTACAAGGTTTATTAAAAGATAGAAGCAAGAGACTATGGTCAGAAACTCCTATGTCTGAGACTATGCTACTAAAATTTTTAGCTCGAACATTAGAAAAAATATTATCAATACATGTGCTTGAAAAGTTGTTAATTCGAGTGGGAATAAAAACGTTAGGAGTAAACCCAAAGCAGGTGCAAATTTCTAAAAGATTCTGAGAATTAGATTTTTCCTTAAGAATATCTATATTTTTATCCGAGGAAATGAATACATTTTTTGTCCTTGCTTCTTTAGATAGTTTATCTAATAAAATTTCAAATTTATGTAAAAATAATTTGTCAGTGTTATCCCCTGGTATTCTGTAAATGGAGGCATATACAGAGTTCCACTCCTTAACTTCTATAAAAGAACCTTCAAAACTTAAAGGTTCATTTAAAAATTTTAAATCTTCCCTTATTTTAAAGCTTACATTTTTTTCAATTAAAATACAAGATCCACCTCTTAGTTGATCCTCTCTCGCATAAAAATCAGCAATTTTAAAATCGTTAAATTGATTAAGACAACTTATGTTATTGACATCAAGCCAGTGTTCATTTAAAGAAATAATATTAACTTTCTCTTTTTGATTTTCAAGAAATAAAATAAAATCCACATAATTATTTAAAAACCCCTGAATATTAAAATGCAAGATATTTATGGTATTAGGCCTATTAGATTTACTGCTAGCCTGACTTTTTAACTGTTTGGTACAAACTTCACTTAGTATTTCTGTTTCCCTAAAAAACATTATTTATACAACTATTTACATTAGGCCTATCTATTTTTCTACCAATATTTACAGATGAAATTTCACCCTCTAGCACATCTTCTTCACCCCCCCTCTACACTTTCACTTTCTTCTACACCCAAACTTTGATTTACACCATATTGCCTTTCACCCTCCCCACAACACAAGGTGTTTTCTTTTCCAATCTGATTGTTAGCTTCTCTTGTAGTTGTTGGGGACTGCTCTGTGATTGTCTGCTCTGTGATTGTCTGCTCTGTGATTGTCTGCTCTGTGATTGTCTGCTCTGCCTCGTAGGTTTTTGTTGAAGTGCTCTGAAGCTCAGCTACGTTGGAGTCTTCTTTCCTGTGAATATGTATTGTTGATTCGGAGGAGTTGTTCTGTATTTTAAGCTGTGATTTCAACCTTTTGACAAAGTCCAAGTAGGTCACACCGTTACGGAGAACTCTTGACGAGCATTCATCATTTACAACCACCATGATTTTGGTCCCAGTTCTACGATGGAGTTGGTGAAGGTTGAAGATGAACTTATCCAGGGGAATGTTATCCCTAACACATCCCATAGGTGGACAGATCAGTGGTTTCAACTCTTTTCTACTTTCAATGTGCTGTGTTAGGTTCTCAAAAGCAGTGTCGTAGTCTTTATGTGCTGGTTTTGAAAAGTAATTAGGTTTGGTGACCAGTCCGTAGACTATTGTGCCGTTTATTGTTTGGTGTGTTAGTTTTTCATCAGCAAAATCTGTAGCAAGGGGTTTATTGAAATGCTTTTTAAACGAGGTTGCCACTCCTGCACTCATATGTCTATCACTATGAAAGTCCGCAGAGATACAATGGGCAAACCCAGTGGTTGGTTGGTCTTTGAACTTGTGTATAATTACATTCATATCTGCTTCAACAAGGATTACAGGCTCTTCGTGTGTTGGTTGGTTGATCCTATTCTTGGTTACTGAAGAATGGTTAAAACAGCAGTCTCTAAGTATCCTCAATAAATCTTCCACAATTTTCCTTTTGCCTTTCCGATTGAAATGCATGCCGTGATTAGTGTAAAAGTCCCGAGGCAATAAATGAAGCTCCAGAAGTTTCACATTGGTATTTTCTCTTTTAATTTTTTCAATTATTTGCTCATTAAAGTTACTAATTCTATTATCCAACTCTGGTTTATCATGTCTCATAAGTACTGTGGAAATGATAAGGTTGGTGTCTTTTGTAGCCTCAAGCAAGTTGTCAAAGTCGCTCAAAACATCTTCAATGCAGGTGTTCTCAACATTATTTGTCCCGCCAATGACAAAGACAAAGTCGTTTTGATCATAGCCAAGTGTTAATTGGTTTACTTCTCCAATCACCCCACTTAACAACGCTCCAGGACGCACGACAGCTGTTACATTGATATCAGTTTTTTGCTGGACCATATTACTTAAGTTTCGTCCATGACTATCAGACAAGATTAGTAGTCTAGACTTTGTATGATTTTGATGGTTGCCGTTGTTGGCTTTTTTTGCATGTTTGTGATTCTTTGTTGTATTCCTAATGTGTTGCGGTCGTTGCGGAGGAATAATAGGAGTTGAAGCACTAATTGTGTTGAAATTGGTCTGTGTATCTTCGTCTGTTGAAAGAACCATGAATTTGTTTTTACATTCAACTGTAGACATGACCTTCTCTTTACAAAATTTAGATTTATGTTTAGGTTGCTGCCATATGGTTGACTGAGAAGCAAGTGAGGGTTTACCTATACCAGGGAAACAGTTTGAACATTTTAAATCATATTGTTTTTGTATATTAACTTGTGTTTTTTTACTAAACATTTCATTTTCATTCCTTAGTAGACTAATCACTGCTTCAAGAGATCTCATTGAATCTATCATATGTTTTGTTTCCTGTTTATAGATTTCACATTTATGACACTGTAAACTTTGCTGTTTTTCTTGTAGACTTACTTCTTCTCTTGTCCCATTCGTTGTTAGTTCTGAGTTAAATTGTTTTTCTCTATGCAGTTTATTTTCCAATGATTTTATTATTGAATTTAACTCAATTTATTTTTGATTTTGTGTAGCTATCATCATTCTAATCTGTTCTTCTTTTTCCATTAATTTATCTTCTAGTTCCGATTCGTAACATGATTTTGCAATTCTTGATTCGTGTAGAGCTTGTTTTAGTTCCTCGTTCTCTCGAAGAATAGCACTGCCTAGTTCTGTAGCTAGAGAAAGAGAATCCTCAAAGTCGTTAGGATCATCAGTTGTGGCTATGTCTAGAGACAAATCAACGACTTCACTCTTATCGTTTTCTTTTATAGAACATTTAGGACATTGCCATAATTTTTGTTCTGAGATTGGTGTATTTTTTACATCCTTGTAAGACAGGTTGACACACTTAAAATGATGCCATTGTTTGCACCCCCCATTACACAATATTGCTCCGAAATTAGCATTTTTTCCAAATTCTGCACATGGAAATTTACTGCCTTTTCCCATGTTTAGATAATGATCATCAATTTAATTATTTACAGCAATAGATTAAAGAAATAAAATTAATAATAAGTCCTTTAAATAAATTGACAGTCTTTATGCTATATATTCCACCAGGGGAAAATTAAAGAATAGTAATCAAAATTAAAAATATTTTTTGAAGTAAATAAAATCAAAAAGTTAAAAGTCTCTGAAGTAATCAGTATCTGAAGTAAAGAAATATATAGGTTTCAGATATTCATGTTTGGCGTTATCTCTATCAGTTGCCAGTACAAAGGTCAGATCACTCACTCAGTTTTCCTTGCCCAGCTTATCTATGGTCCCATCTTATCTATGACCATTGAAATAATCCTGCAGTTTATCAGAAAAACTGTAATTTATATAAACTGGTTACATGAATGAGAAAACTGATTATACACTTTCACAGATAAAAACTTACTGAATATTTAGGTATAAATTTCTTCATGTAAAAGTTTAATTTACTACTTAAAAACTTATAAAAATCGAAGAGCACAAATGACACAGTGTTTGCAGCTACAGGGTCTTCCCCCTCTCATAACACGGGACATGGAACATTTAGACACAAACAACACGAGAGCGCTATCATGACACGGGATTATTTTGAAAATATTTTGATGTTTTTGACGTAAAGCTCCGATGATGTTGCATTGCAACGAAACATGTCAGCTTTGAACAACATTATTTTAGGTTAGACACAATTTTGGACTACTGATGGAGGTAGGCCTACAAAGGTACTTATATTTATGTACTGAAATAAAATCAATCCTTGAACATTGTGTAGGTGGTCCTGTATTTCAAACAGTGCTCCAAAAGATCTATTAGTGTTCTGCAAGTTTATAACATATGGATTGTTAACATATTTTAACATTTCTATTTTCTATTCTGTTTAAAACACACAAACTACATGTACCGTATTTTAAGATGGCTTTATCTAAAACTTACGCTTCTAAGTGTGCAAGTGTGCAAACTGGCTTTAGATTTTCCATTCAAACCATAAAACTAAAAAAATACACAATTCAATTCAATTCATATAACTTTATTCATATCAGTACAGGACCAATACAGGAATGACGTCAAGAGTGATTGAATAAAACTAACTAAAATACTCATCATTATCATGCATGACATAACATACCATCAATATTAATAGCTTTTCAGCTCAAATAAAGTAAAACATACAGTACAATTAAAAATTATACATGACAAATAAAAATAAAAATAATAAATAAAATTGTTTTCAAACCAAAAGTTTTAATTTAGGCCTATATAAAATAAAGCAACAAAGAACTAAAAACTCTTTAAAGAAATATATAGCTTTGTTGATAAGAATTTTTTTTTTATTTAAATTTTTTTTTTTGAAGTTTCAGATTAGATTTCTTTAGGAAGTGTATGGAACCGGCATATTTAGGTGTATTTATGAAAAGTTGCAGAGTATGTGAGCTTGTGGCCAGGTTTTCTAAATTTCTAGTAAAGTAATTGAGATGGTCTCCAATGAGTTGTAGTTCTTTAAATCTGTCTTTTACTATTTACTACCTTCACGATAATACTGTTTCATGGACATACATTCCATAAACAGTCATAATATTCTCAGTTTTAAAATGTTCTTTGACTGAAGTCTTGCGTTTTAAAGTGTATAATAGTCTAATAGCTTTCTTTTGCAATTTTAGAATTAATATATATTTTTTAATTTTTTGCTGCACTATATTACATATAATATCATATTACAATCCAAAACGAAAAAACTTCTCAATGCACAGAAATTAGTGGTGAGGACAATGGCAAAAGTTTCCAAAAGAAAAAGCTGTAGATCATTATTTAAAGAATTTGAAATTTTAACAGTAACAGGTTTATATATATTAGAAATTTTCAAGTTACTCTACATAAGTTTAAATTTAACCATAACTATTTCACACGTCACTCCCACTTATTTTAATATCCACACCATAGACTTTCTCTGTATGAAAATAGTCCAAATTACATGGCAATCAAAATTTTTAACAAGCTATCAAAAATCGTAAGCAAAAATTCATCAAAAAATGTCTTCAAAGACTGACCACGAAATATGTTGACCATGATGCCGTGACCGTGGGACATGTTGACGTTGGTGCCATGACTGCAAGATATGCTAACGATGGTGCTGTTACTCCCGAGATATGTTGCCGATGATGCCGTGACCGTGAGATATTTTGACAATGATGCTGTGACCGCGGGACATGTTGACGTTGGTGCCATGACTGCAAGATATGCTAACGATGGTGCTGTTACTCCCGAGATATGTTGCCGATGATGCCGTGACCGTGAGATATTTTGACAATGATGCTGTGACCGCGGGACATGTTGACGTTGGTGCCATGACTGCAAGATATGCTAACGATGGTGCTGTTACTCCCGAGATATGTTGCCGATGATGCCGTGACCACGAAATATGTTGACCATGATGCCGTGACCGCGGGACATGTTGACGTTGGTGCCATGACTGCAAGATATGCTAACGATGGTGCTATTACTCCCGAGATATGTTGCCGATGATGCCGTGACCGTGAGATATTTTGACAATGATGCTGTGACCGCGGGACATGTTGACAATGGTGCTGTGACTGAAAGATATGTTGACGATGGTACCGAGACATGTTGACATGGCGCCATGATTACTGGAAGGAAAAGGTGTAACAAGGAAAATTGACCGAGTATTTCGTCGGGATTAAAATAAATTGGTAATGAAAAGTCGGGAATTTCATTTGAGAAATCTGGTTGTATTACTTTTACCTTATATTTTATTAGATTGCCAACTGAACAGGTTCATTAATAAAATACATTTTTGTGTAAACTTGGTCGAGTTCCGCTTGTTGTAAAACGCTCAAAATACAGTAGACTCTTGCTGATCAGCTTGGTTGCATCTGCCCACAATAAATTTGTATCCAAAACATGAATTCTCTCTCAACTCGTAGCTTATCAATTTTATGATTTGCAGATGGATTATGTGGTACCAGTGCTAACAGAGGGGTACTTCAGAGCTTTAAAAGAACCTGATTTGCAAGCGAGGTTGTTGGACGAACGCTACATTCAGTTCATTCATGACATTCTAGTCTCCAAGTACATTCGTAATAGTTGTCTCAACATTGAGGTTCGATCTGTTATACCAAACAATTCTATCAACTCCGTGTACTTTAAGGAAGATTTCATTCACCACTCCATCTTCAATGCTTGGAAAAGCGAAGATGAAATACAAATTTTAGCAGATTCCATAGTAAAACATAAACGCATTGTAGCTCAGTGAGTATAAATTAGGAGATAAGAGGTCATTTTAAAATTGGTTTTTTTATGGAAATTAATTTGTTTGTACCCACAAAAGTCTACTGTAATGCAGGGGTTGTAATGTTAATATTTTCTACTAACATAATCTAATTTGTGATATTTAATTTACAAGAGCTTTTTTTGTTCTATCTTGTCAATGTAAATAAATATAGTAATTCAAATGTTCTTTGCTTTACTTCAATCCTCGATTGACTTGTCTTTGAGTCTCTATAAAACTTTGAATATGTTTTGAATATTTTTTAAGCTTATTGTGAATGGGAACAATATCTTCAAAATAAGAAAAAAAGTATAATACAAATTTTGTTTTAAAAAGAATACAACTATTCGGTAGAAAGATTCATTCGTACTAGAGATGCCTCCTCTTGTAGAGTTTAATTCTGAATTGAGTAAGTTTCACTTATCATTATGATAATTTTGTAAGACCTAGTTTTACTTCACTATAATCTGTTTTTAATTATGACTAGTAGTATATTTTATCACTAGGACCAAAAAAGATAATGTTCCATGACTCCATACAGGCAGTAGCGTAGCCAGGATTGTGTCAAGGGGGGGGGGGGTTTCACATAGCGGATCTGGAGGGGGGGGGTTTGAGGGCTGCAGCGGTAACCTAAGAAAAAAAATAATGTCTTTTTTAGGGCCATTAAAAAAATAAGTAATGGCCATAAAAAACAATTGTAAAATGTTATCTAAAAATGTAAGTACAGTACAGTAGTAGATTTGCTATGTATACCCTTTAGTATATTTGATTTTTTCAACGTTCCTCATTTGCACAGTTCCACTTGAGAACTAAACATAATAAGGTAAATAGGTCCAGTTTTTTTTCTTTTCAGTAGGTTATGTTATTTTTTAGAACCTAGACCAGGCGGCGGATCAACTTTGGTCAATATAGATGCCTCTAAAATTATGTTATGTTACATAACCTCATCCATTTCAAATACCAAGAAAATTTTATAAATTGTGTTTTTTTAATCTAATGTGTTAAAAAAATATTTAAGCTAACAATTTTTTGACCATTATTTATATGCAGTAGTTTCCCACATTATTATTTTTGAAACATCACAGTTTATTTGACAAAAATAAAATAGAAGCATAACAATGAAATATCGGCTGATAGCTTCAAGGTATGTGCTATGTGCTTGCACTGACAGACGTCTGCTCCTTACAGAAAGAAGAATTTAGGCCTACATTATTAATAAGAAAATTATTATTACAGAAGATTGGTGAGAACATTCCATTTATTAATTTATTAACTCAGACTATAGACTCCTCAAGCATCCGTTTGGACCCAACTTACCTCCATTCATCAAAATCAAAATCCTTCCAATTTATTGTTTCTAAAAGATTATTAAATTTATAACTTACCGAACTTATTAAAAATTTAAATTGGGCATCAACAAAATCTTTTGATTCAGTCTGCACGAATCCCCACCCCTGAACAATTTTTGTAACCTTATTTTAATCATTTATGTAAATTACCATTAAACCTTGTTCTTTAAAACCTCTGTCCTCGTAATTATTATTGTTTAAACTAAGATAAGCAGGGTGTCCACATTCTGGAAAGTCAGGGATAGTCATGGAAAGTCATGGAAAAAAATTTTGGTCATTGAAAGTCAGAGAAATAGGCAAGAAGTCATGAAAAGTCATGGAAATTTCCAATTATGGATGGATTTGAGGGGACCATTCAATGCTCTAGTCAGCCGTAACCCGGACTGTTGTAGCATTTTTCAGGATTTTTCACAAATGTTCGACAATTCAATTTATTACAGTTGTATTATTTTATGAGTTTTCGGTTTGTTTTAGTTCATTGTTGTACCTATTGTACTCCATTGTTGTCTGTTATTACATATTTCAGTATTTTCTGCAAAATAACATGTCCAGGCAGTATTATTTGTGTGTGTATGTTATATAATAATTTGCGTGTAAAGTTCGTGAGTCATGGAAATCAATGGTAAATGGTCATGGATAGTCATGGAAAGTCATGGAAATTAATGAAAAATCTTTTGTGGACACCCTGAAAGATTAGAATAGAATAACACCATATTTAGGGGTTTATTTCAATGGCGCCCAACGTAATAGGCTTGAATCAAAAGATTTCATAATCGTATGTTGAGACAATCTAATAGGCTAATAAATACCAATAGGCTAATACTTACGTATGTTAGGCCTACTATTAAGAAGTTAGGTAGGATTAAGAATCCCGATTTCCCACAACAATATGTCCCACCAATATTAGGTACTAACTAAACTACTTCTAACTCTTAAAATAAATAGGCTACTATAAGGTAAATCAGATTTATTTCATGTCGTAAAGCTTAGGTCTTAGGTCTAGCTCATTATTATTATAACGATACCCAACTTGTCCTATAATATCCCTGTTCCCTTACACCGTAAACAAAATGGCTAACAACGATAACGATAATCACTATAATTTGAGACAACCGAGACGTTATCCTGCATTATTATTTCAACAACACGAATCAGACGAATCGTCAAATCTGTCAACAGAAGAAATAGAAAACCTAACCTATGTAGAAGGCCAAGTTGAATCCAACACCAGTTCAGAACGTTTCAATCCTAGTGTCGAAGATTTGAACCGGAACGAGAGCGACCAATCAGAATCAACGGACCGGACCGAAACGATTGAAGTAAACCAAAGACCCGCAGAAAAACTGAGCACACCAATTACAGTACATCCACAGTTAGCTGACTTCACAACCACAACTACACACAGAATCATCCGAGAGATGACGAAGACGCCCGAAGCGAGTTTCCAGTTGTTGGAGATCGAGTCTCCGACCATTGAAAATCGTCCCAATGACGTAATCCCAACACTCACACACGCAACTTCTCAACCATCCAAAGCTACGCAAATAACTACTGAAAAACCGGATTTGAATAAAATATTTAATTTTCTAGAACAGTTAAACACTAAACTAGATCAAACCAACACACAACTAAATCAAAAATTAGATCAGACCTGAATAGAGCTAAACCGTGAGATAAAATCATGTCAAAAAATTATAACAGAACAAATAAATGACATTAGAACAACACAAAGTGAATTTCGGTAGGAATTAAATGTCCTAAAAGCTAACCAACAGTCCCAAAATCAAGAAAATAAAGAATTTCAATTTCAAATCACAAATGAAATTGACGAATCAAAAATAAATATCCAGACATTTGTTACTAATAACTTGGAACAACAACAACAAAAGTTAGAACAAAATATGAAAGCATTGGTGCTACAAACAAAAACCGACAGTGAAAATATTGCTAAATATTATGCACAATCCATCCACAATGAAATTGTACCTAAATTACACATACAAAATAATCTAATCCAAGAACAACAAAACAAAATTAAAACCATTACTGAAACTCTAAACAAATGTGAAAGTGAAGTACAGTCACTAAAACTGAAACATCATTCACCAATCCGGAACGACAATCCTATTCAAATCATATGTTCGGGATCTGACCCAATGGAAAGACAAATCCCTAAATTCAATGGAAGAACTATAAATCCAAATGAATATCTACAAAAACTTAAACGGTTCTACATTAAAAGGATAGAAAGAAATCCTAATAACGACCCCGTTGAAATCCTGAAAGATCTTCTCGACGTCAGTTTTGAAGGACCAGCGTCTAGATGGCTTCAACTAGTTAAGGCTGATATCGTCACTATACTGTACGTGATTCAATTCCTTTGATATCACGGACGATTAATATCAAACATTAGAAATGACAAAATAAATTTTAACAAAAACTAGGTATCTTCTTTATTGTATTCAACAAAACAACATACTAAACTATTTTTTGTTTACAAAACAATTGAAAAACATATGACTGTTTATATATTAATTATTAAACAGTCTTTTGGCAAACTTGTATGAAATATATTGAGGGGTTTTCTTTATCAATGATTAATCATCGTACGTCAATCATCCCCCCCCAAAACCCTCAATATATTTTTTGAAAATTTTAAAACTAGGTGTTAAATTTGGATCTAGATTCATTTCTGCACTTGAACCTCTTTTTCTTGGAATATGTGGTGTTTTTCTTTTTAAGTGTCTTTCTCTTAGAAGGTCTTCCTTTCTTTCTCCGTCCCTCTTCATTACTTCCTTCTTCACTTGCAGATTCCACATATTTTCCACCATTCTTTTTCCTTACTCTTCCACTACTTTCACCATAACTCTCAGACTGGTTGACCTGCCGCAACTTCTGACGATTTCTCAGTTGTAAGTAAAGGTATTCTATCTTTTTGGTCTTCCTTTCCCTTTCCACCTTTTGTTGGTACTGTAACAGACAATGTTGCCTGTTGCAGTCTTTAGGGACCATCTTCTCCCACTGCCTGATCTTCAGTTCTTGCTCCTTCCCTCTCATCGTATCCTTGGCCTCCTCGAAATATTCACACGACGTAACATTGAGTGCAGATCGTATCTCGGTGTCCTTTGCGGTTGACGTGACCCCAGGAGCATCGGTCCAATGCAGGATCCCATCCTCATCTCCCGAGATGGCTGATGAGTCTTCGACCATCACTGTCCGTCGCAAGATCTCTTCTGTACCTCCTGTGATGACCGTTGAGTCCTCGACCCTCTCTGTTGGCCGCAGGATCTCTTGTCTATCTCCCAAGATGGCTGATGAGTCCTCGACCATCACTGTCCGTCGCAAGATCTCTTCTGCACCTCCTGTGATGACCGTTGAGTCCTCGACCCTCTCTGTTGGCCGCAGGATCTCTTGTCTATCTCCCAAGATGGCTGATGAGTCCTCGACCAACTCCAAGATATTTTCCCAGTTGTTGAATTTGATTTCATTGTATTTAATTTCGATGTCCGATTTGTCTGTTTCATAGGTGTTAGTAATAACTTTAGTTTCTAATTTTGATTGGTTTTGGTTTTCCGAAATCTTTTTAATGGAGGATGAAATTACATTTTTGATGCCTGCCAAATGAGTATCCAATTGTTTTGATCGAGTATCTAACTGTGCCGAAATCTTTACTAGTAACATACTCACCGGGTCTGCTGGTGGTTCTCCTAATTTTGCCATTTCTTCTTAAAATCCTGTCACGGTCGCCAATTGATATCGCCACTATACTGTACGTGATTCAATTCCTTTGATATCACGGACGATTAATATCAAACATTAGAAATGACAAAATAAA